TAGAGCGAAAATTTCGATTTTCGAAAAATCGCGTTTTGAAGAACGGCCGTACACGTCACTAATTTGATGTTTTACACTTCATTGAATGAAGATAATTGCATTTAAATAGATGATTTTAAGGATTAATTGTTGACGATACCATCAGACAAATGGTACAGCTCAATAGCGCCATCTACCGTCAGTGAAAAACGGACGAATATACGAAATATTATGTTCCAAAAAACACCTATTTCATTGTCTGTTTTTACACAAATGTGTTTTTTCATTTGTTTTATAGCTGTAAAATACATACGAGTTCAAATAACCATTTGAATACAACACAGTTCGGTACCATAGCGATTGAATTATAACAAAATATGTGTTTCGGTATACGAAAATTCGACGACGGCGGCAGCCGATAGCCACCACCGTCGCGTCGTTGGAATATTACCTACGTGTCTGAGTCTGATGTGGCGGTGACGATCGTGTACAAATAACGCCATCTCGTTGTCGTACGATCGTCCTAAATATGTACAATATTCCAAATAGTWWAAACAAATAAGAAATACATTTTTTTATAAACATTGTTTAAATTATATAATTATACAAATGAAATTTTATATTTTGAAATTCTAAGTGGTTGTAACTCATTCAATCTGTATTTAACCATTGAAGGGCACRCAGCCTTTTGTCTATACCAGCGATTCCCAACCTTTTTAGTTGTGCAGTCCACTTAACTAATATCATATAAAAATATATAGGTATAAAAATGTACAAAATATTAACACCCACAAATAAGAAGAAATATAGACGAGTATAAAATCATATAAAAATCTTTATTTTGATTCCAATTAAAATAGAATTATATAATAATATATGTATTTTTATTATTTGTATAGGTTTATGCTGGTGCATATAAATTCCACCGTTTGAGACCTTTTTAAACCTTTTTGTAAATTACAAGCATGTATTTTGAAAAAAATGTAAATTCCACCCATTCGATTTTTCAAGTAAAAAAGTATTGATGGAATTTAAAATCGCCCATTTCCGGGTGTAACATTCGTAGTAATACAACAAATTGATTGAATCATATTATCAACTGCTTCCGCGCTACCGTCGCCGTCAATGTACCACCATGAGTGAACAGTGACTACAAATGTAAGTAACGTTTTGTGTTTGTATCCTTGCGATCCACCTATAAACTCAATAAAATTAATAAAGTTGAAAGGTTCATGTTTTGCTAGGTCAAACTGTCCAGAGTACACAAAAATGTCAGCTATACACAATAACTATAATCTTATAAATCTTGGGCCTTTAGAAACGTTTGAGATGGAGATACACTAAACTAAATGCAGTCAAATTACGACTCACTGTTCGACGCCGAGTGACTAAATCGTATAACTACATGATGTGTTAGGTACTTACCTAATATTATAAAGATTAAATTTGAAGTGATTGTTTTCAAAATAATGTAATTTTTATTTTTTATGAAATGTTCTAGAAGTTACAGTGTTTTACGTTTTCTTATGCTATTGTACTACGTACCTATTATAATGATTCATTGTAATAAAGGCCTGTTTTGGTGTTTACTCATTGGCCATAGTTCAGCTCGAAATAAAATGTATTGATTTTATTAATTTTGATTAAGTACCTACTGGATACTAGCATACTTCACGTTTTTTGAAATAACCCAGGACTTAGTAACTCGCTACAATTTACATTTTTTTTTTGTTTTTACTGTTAAATCAAGTGCGCAGAGTGATTGACTAAACATTATAAATAGGTTAAATAACGTACGCAATTCATTTCAAATGTTTATTACTATGATTTATGCCAACAATTTCACTTCATGCACTAAACACAGTGTATGTACCGTGTACCGTACCCAAATGTATCGTAAATGTATGTATCGGTGGCGCGCTCTTGAACCCAAACTCTTCGTTCACAAACTGAAGATTTTTCGGAAAATCAGCGTTTTTATTGTGTTATGGATTGTGTGCATGTCAGATATTAATATATTATCCATTATATTAGATTTGTTATATACATTTTATGAAATTGTATATTGAAACAAATATTTCTAATACAATGATTTTGATTATTATTTATTATGACATAATTTAAAAAAATAACTACCATTGAAACTGGATACGATATTTAATAATTTATAAACACTTGACATTTTTAATTTGTTCAATTTTACATTCTGAGTGATTAATGTATTTGATTTACAATGATGTGTGCCTTTCACATATTATGGCAGTATTAACCATACAAAATGTGCAAATGCACTTTGAAGTTCCTTGCTCTAAATTCAAAATTTCAGAGCTTATAATTATCAATTAGTAAATATAAATATTTAACTAAATAATTGTAATACCTAATAAATGTATAAGAAGTTATCTTTATTAATAACAAAAAAATTATTCATCAAATAAATATAACTAACTACCATTAAGTTAATGGTTAGTGATTGTTGATTGATGATTGTAGATGATAGTTTTTCTAAATAATTTTAATAAACATTGTTATAAATACAAAGGAAACAGAATTGAGGTACTGAATACACATAGGTACTTCTATTATGCCTGAATAATATATTATGTTGAATCAGTGGTGTCAAAGTCCAACATTTTACCTATAACATCAGACACTTCTACCTTTYACACCCACCTATTTTTTATAATTACCTTAGCACACATCAAGTATAGTTTTTAGTTTTTTACCATACGATATCTACTATCTACTATTTCATACTGGTAATTGGTTCACAAAATATTTTTCGATAATCAGCTAATAATATTAAATACTAAATAGTAAAATATAGTATCTGAGAACATTTAAAATATACAGAACATATTAYATCGAAAATTCTAATAGATATATGGGGCTAARCTGCCGTATCATTGTTTATTTAGAGAAAAAAAAAACTAGAGAAGTGAGTATAAGCCGTATACCCAAATACACCAGTCATTACCACGATTTTAAGATAATATATTATGATTTTGATTTTTTTTCGGTAAATATTTAATATTTAAAAAATATGAAATTGATGGTGTTTCACCAGCTACTTATTGCCTTATTGGCTACCTATTTTTATTTTCATCCGACCGGCGTAGACCGTCGCGTTTCCGTTTTAGATCGATTCGTGCATTATTGGCGCCAAAAATTTGAACAAAAGTACAATATCATATACAATATTACAATATATTAATTATATTAATTATTATAATATACACGGCTAAATATCATATACAATATTACAATATATTAATTATATTAATTATTATAATATACACGGGACACGGCTATCCTTGATAATATTATTATTTATTATTATTATTAATATCATTATTGTTGATGTTGTTATGTCGTTATCAATACCACGGTCGTTGGGTTTTTTCTGTGTTTAATGTTTATAAGTTATAACAATAATTATGATTATGAAATCCATTATCCCATTCAGTATTCACCTCTCACATACCGATATATCGCACGATTGCCACTGTTCGAGTATTCGTCGTTGGAGACTTCGATGTTCGAGTAATCGTTCGTCGGCAATCGTGTTATTGCTTTTGCGTTATTTGTCATTTCGTGTTCGGTAAGTGCATGTCCCGTTCGATTTAGTAAGCAACCTGCTACGAATCGCGGTTGACCACCATGCAGAATAACGACGATAACTATMGAAGTAATAATAATTATTCAATTTGGAGAAATGATGGGAATAACCAAGAACAGCAGCAACCGGACCGTCCAGACGAAACACGTGATCCGGACCGTGGGATRGTCGTCAACCATGGCAACACCGACAATTCTACTTACAACACTACTGCATATTTAAAATATTTCAACGTGGTAAAACCAGTCGAATTATCTATGTTTTCCGATAAAAACCTGTACGATGAATCAAAAATGCCCTCGTCAACATATAAGCCTTTGAGTTCAAACCCTGTTTCGGGAACAGTAGGCGCCAAAAACAACAAAAACTCGGGCAAGTTGAATTGGAATGATAACAAATCCAGACAATATAACGGATATCGTCAGAATCAGTTCAACAACAAGAAATATCCAAACAAATATCGGAATAACAAAACCAAAGCCTCAGTGAGATTCAACGATTTTGTTTCAGTGACAAATGTCCACAATACACCCTTTGGAAAAAATGATCAGCCAGGTTCTATAAATAATTCTGGTTGTACAGAACCGGCTTTCAGTCAAAATGTTTTGACCATTAATGATTTGCCTGGCATAGATGAAAATTCTGAATATGATTCAGAATGTGAATCTGACCCAGGTGATATAGAGAAGATGAATATGATGACTGCTGCAGATTTTAATGATGATCGTTATGCTCGCTATGGGATACACGAGGCAGAAATCAAAGACTATGTGCGCACTATTACGTTTAAAAACTGCATAGAATATTGTTCAAAAGGATATATTAAAGTAAATATAATTATATCTTGCTAAAGTTACTTATRTGTTTTTAAATATAGGTACATAAGTAGGCAGGTTAGTACACTTATTAACAATATTTAAAATATCTACCTATCTAGGTTCAGTTACTATAAATTATGTTTTCTCATCATTTTGTGATCAGTCCGTAAAATTGTAATTACAAATGCATATTATGGGATATAGTGATAGTTTCTATAGATAATATAGATAATTAAGACAGTAAATTGTTGTGTTATTTTAATAATTATTTGTTCTATGCAAATATTTTTTAACTTAATATGATATGTTTTGTATTTTAATGAAGGGGGCTAGGTGTATTCATTTAGATATTTTTAATTTTTAATTTTACAAAAGAGTGATAAAATCTGCTTATATTTACATTCAAAGTAAGTAATACAAGTAGTAGCTAGCTATCACTTGAGTGTTCACTAGACAAGTAATTCCAACATACCTACCTTATTATTAAAATTAATAAAATATATGAAAACATCATTAAAAATATTATTTTATAATATTTTAATGATTATAACTGCTCCTATTTCCAAAACATACAGTCGGCATTTTTGTTTCTTCGGGATACATAAAAGACAATTGTTACGTACTCCCCCCAACTGAATGTACAATCAACTTACTTCAACATATTTATGATAAATTTAAATATTTCTTAGATAAGCGGTTCCCAAAATTTTTTGTGTCTCAGCACCTTTTTTTGAAATAAGGTGTTTATATGGTGCCCTTCGAAAATAATAATAAAAAACCATAGCAATTTGTAATACTGTAAAGTGGGGTCACTTTGATAATTTTTTTTCATTTTTTTTAGTTCTATACTTATTATACTAATAACTAACTGAAATATAAAACATTTAATTATTAATAATTATTCTATACCTTAACTGATAATTGCCTAAACTAATTTTTTTTTTCATTTTCGTATTAGTTATAACTATGATAGATAATGATCAAACTTACCCATCTTTTGGGGTGACTTTGATCACTGCCCTGAAAATGTGTATAAACCATGAAGAATAAAGATAAGGAGCTCGCACTCGCTGATACAACCAGGCCGACTTTCGCTCGTACAATAAAAGTTGCGCGGAATCAYCACGGGTTGCGCGTCGTTCGATGGTTATAATAAAAATATTTGAATAACATGACGAATGCATACAGTAATTTGGAAGTTTTTAGCATTTATTWCCAAAATAAAGAATGCGATGTTAATTATATAATATTGTAGATATAGAAAAATTGTTAACTGTAAACTGGTGTTTAATAATGTTAGTTAGGTTATAATTAYAATACCTACAGGCTATAATAGGTAATACAATAAACACATTCAAYAAAATATTAATGATGTAATTCTTTCTGACCTTTAAACTWAGTTTAAATAACTAACTAAACAAAATTAAGAGTTATAATACAATATACAAGAAATCAATTAGGAAAATAAAAAAAATTATAATAATAACATTAACATTTTCCAACGTTCTAATATTTTGAGGTCTTCCTGAGTGCTCGTGTTTTGTCCTTTGCAATGTTGTCAATAACATTATTTGATCTTTTACAAATCATATGCATCCTTGTCACAGTATAAAAATGGAGTATTCTTTGGGTAAATTCTCGACAATGTTCAATGCAACCAATAAGTGGCAAGTTTTCAACATTTTCTAATGTACCGGCAACATCAAAAAATGTATCTACATTCAATTTATTAATTTCGATTGTTTTAACAATAACTGATTCTAATGTTGAAATTAAATAATAAAGTCTATTGCTAGAAGCTAATAATCCTCCTCTGCTACGTACTTCTAACACTTTATTTCTGTTAAGTTCTTCAAAGTTGTTAAACTTCAAACTATTTTGACAGTTCTGGCAGGTAGAAAAMCGTATTGCTTTACGTCTTACATATCCAGATATGTATGTTATTATGAAATCATTTGGATTATTAGGAGTTCTTTCAATTATTTCTTCAAGATCGTCGCAATGTATACCTTGGTCCAATATACGATCCATGCTATCCTCCCAAGAAATTTTACTTTTTTTTGAAACATTTTCAGTCACATCCTCTAGGGTCATCAGGGTTTCCAATATTTCACCTCCAGAAACATTGCTACCTTTTGGTGGCTTAACTAATGAATATGTGGAAATTAGTCGAAACATTTGTATATAAAGAACTGAGTCTGGGTGGTCATTTGACCCACAAGCAGACCTCATCATTCCAAAAAACCTCTAAAAATACACATAAAATATAATTTAACTAATTTTTAGATAATTGTTAATTTTTATTTTACTTCAAGGGCATCTTGATTCAATCTAGATGTCATCACATATTTATAACCACAATTMATTTGCAAAAAACTTGATATTTCTAAACATGCAGTAAGTGATATCTTAAAACCAGAACATGTATTATTCGACATAAAGTGTTTGYCATCTACCATAGWTTCCCACTGTTTCATATAAGACAGAAATTCACCAATTGCCTAAAATTCAAAAGTTATGGTTTATAAAATGAATGCAAATACTATAAATCTATACATAAAGTTATAAAGTAGGTATATTTTAATTACTGTCCAGTGTATTGAATTTGGTCGTAATGCATTCAATGGAGTTCTGGAATTCATTGCAATAATTAATTTTTGTATTCTAGTTATAAATTTAATAGTTGGTTCACAATCTGCCAAGTCTTTATGGAATCCTTTCAATAATTGCATTGCTGATGCAATAGGCTCACCGAAAAACTGTATAATATATTMAAATTAACTTAARTTATTACATTAAATAATTAATCACAATATGTATTAGAAATTACTTGAAATGCCATAGCTACATTCATTTTTTGATAATGTTTTACTTATAAGATATAAAACATAAGTCAACAACTGTAGAAGTGTATAGTGTAGTACCGAGACAGACGTATAAAAGTATAAATAAATAAATCATGAATTAGTATAATTAGTATAAACATCGAACGACCTGCGACCTAGTGGCGAAATCACAYACCTTATTTCGTGCGGATGGAAACGAGTGTGTTTYATTTACGCGCGTCAACGGGAGTGCGAGCTCCTTATCTTTATTCTTCATGGTATAAACATAGGTACAGTCATACAAGTGATCATTCTCGACCCACAAAAAAATCGGTTCGTTAGTTTTTGAGTTATTTTATTTTTTAGTTTTGGGGTGACTGATCGGGTATCAAAATCATTTAAATATTAATTATTATAAACAAATTGTATTGTTTATGTTATAAMAAAATTTTGTCCAGTATATATAAGTCATAACTCTGTAGTTGGTATTCTAAAACAAATAAAATAGGTAAGTATGTATATAGGTATTAAAATAGGTAATAGGTAATTTATACATAATATTTATTAAGTTTATTCAGTCTTCTTGACTAGTAACAAAAGGATAATTATGTAATTTATAAAAATAAAAAACTTAGATAAGTACCCTAATAAAATAGATAACATGTAATTAAACATTAAAGAAAAGTATTAAGTTAATGTAGTCTTCTTGACTAGGTAGTAACCTATGAAAATATTTATTTAATTGTAATTATACATATGTAAAGGCATTAAATTTATGTTAAAACATTAATTATATTAAGATTTAGGTATATGTTAAATTAATGGGATTAATGATAACATTCTATGGCAGCGCGTCGCCCCTGTAAAGACACTACGGCGCACCAGGGTGTGGTGGTACACAGTTTGGGAATCGCTGTCTTAGATCATATAGATTCTTAACTAAATGTCCTTGGCAGTTCGTAGATGGTTACTTGGGGTCCACAAGGGGGTTGTGAGTTTTATTTTAAATAACGCAAATAGTAATGGTTGTTCATATTTCTTTATGATTTTCGATAATGTTTTTAAGATACCAATAATAATAATGTGTTGCCTACATTCTGCCACTTGAAAGACAACAATTTTTTTATGTATCAAATTTAGATTACTTTAATCTATTTTAAATTACTTAAATGCTATATTAAGTTATTGTGATTGTAATATACAATCTTATGAGAATTTCAACTTAACTCGGAAACTCAACACTTGAACTCGAACTCTCAAAAAATAATATTTCTTTGTCCAGAGTACGGTCCCAGATTTCAAGGCAATATTGCAATCAAAAGCACAGCAAATGTCACATTGAAACTTGTTTTAAACTATTACAAAAAGTGATTATTCACTGTAATATAATTAATTTAGTATTTAATCTTTTAGTCTTAGTAATATCATTAAAAAATAATAAAATTTATACTAATTTTTTTTTTTTGTGGGGGAGGGTCTGTGATCATATTTTATATTTCAAAGGGATCCGTGACTCAGAAAAGGTTAAATACCTATGACTTAAATGTTAACCATCTTATTCTTTCTTGTAATTCCTCAAATTTTACAATTAAAATGATATTTGAAACCAGATAAATATTTTTAATATCTTATATAACATCAAAAGGGTTAGAAACTTACAAACTTACAAACTTAAACATTAGTTAAATAATAGTACTTTAATAAATTCCATCATCTAGGTCAGCCTCAAATGCTTAATAACAAAGGATTACAGTAGTGTAAACATACACAACTTACACTCACTTACATCCTTCAATTTGAACATTGTAGATTGCACACCATTATAATATATTTATTATATTTATATTATAATATATTTTACTAAATTAAAATTTTCAGCCTTTTTAAAATCCACCCACTATATAAAATGGAATAAAATAAAATACATTTTGTGTTGAAGGGCTGTTATTTTTTAACGTTTTCAGCATATATAAATATAAAGGCCTGCACACACTGCGGCGGTAGCAAAAAAAGCTGGCCACATTTTACCACAACAGCACCGCTAAGCCAATAGAAACTTACCGCCGCCGTTGCAGTGTGCGATAATCTTAATGAAGGTATAATTTGACATTTTTTAAATATATTCTTCTTAATTTTATACCTATAGATAATTTACCCACCTTAAAGGGATGATGTAAGTATCACATGATTTGTAACATGGTTGGTTTTGTATAACGTTTAAGCTAAAATTTCAGTCTTTTTGTTCTATTAATAATTTGATGAGCTTAGTGAAAAATAGGTTAAATAAATTATTTTTACATGTTTAATGTCGTTTTATTTTTACCTCGAAAATCTGAGCCTTTTTTCATTGATCGAAAAATTAAATATACATTATTATCTATTTATTATCTATAATATTTTCGATTCGATTATCTATCTTTTTTAAACAAAGCTTGTGTWGGAGATATATAATACAATTATTAATAAAATACATCTTATATAAAAATATACCTATAAAACTTAAATTTAAAGATACAAAGTATAGATTCTAAGCACAAATAAAATACAGTTTTGTGATATTTTAAGAAAATTGTATGTGAATAAAAGGAAAAAATATAAAATAGCATTATATTCAAAATACACGAATATATACAACCTAGATAATATAAATATTAACATAACTTAAAATGTAATAATATAACAATACATTCATACTCTACTCTCAGAGCTTAAAATATAATTATATACAAATTTTTGTTGGTAAAATATTAAATATAAATATAATAATTTTTACTACTTTTCTTCTGTCTTATGAATTATGCATTACAATTGTTTTAAATTCATTTTTCAGGATAAAGTGGTATTAGTTATCCGCTGTGGTATTGGCTTATTACCTTTGTTATGTGCTCGGGATGGAAAAGCCAAAAAAGTAATTGCTTTAGAACAGTCGGCTTGCATTGAATATGCTCGACGTATAATCACAGACAATCGGTATAGTACTGTGATCACCTTAGTCCAAAGCAATGTAAGAATAATTGGATTATATTTTATATGACCTATTACTAATATTATACATTTTAATATGTAAATGTTACACAATGTTACAGCTTTCTTACTGCTCCTATTTAAATAATTTTGTATTTTAAGGTTCATGACTTAAAACAGTTGCCGCACAGACTGAAAAAGGTAGATGTTATATTATCTGATTTTTTGGGAGACTGTGTTTTAAGTCAAGGAGATCAAATGGAACAGGTTATTGAAGCTAGAGATCGTTTTCTTGTTTCAAATGGTTTGTATTGATATATAATTTAGTCACCAAGTATTTTTCCTTATATTTAAATTTATTTTATGTTAATTTGTATATTTTTATAGGTTTAATGATTCCTATGCGTGTTACTCTGTATTGTCAGTTATTAGAACAAAGGCGAATCTTTGGAAATTGTCGTATTCGCAAAAGGATTAAAAAAAAGACAAATAAAAAATCTGATAGTTGCTTAAATTTAAACAAGTCTGATAAATCCGAAACTGATACTGACAGTTCTTCAGATTCAACATTGTGTTCATGGTGGAGTGATGTTTATGGATTTGATATGAGATCAAATACAGAAATGATAGTTGATTGTGATTCTGAAAGCGTAGACTGTCCTAAATTAGCAAAAGAAAAGTGGCACTTGATGGATGAACCTCTAGTTACATTTTTTGATCCGTGCAAGGTAAATAATTGATTTATGTTTCTTGAAGATAAAGAATAAGATGCAACTCAATATTATTTTACTAAACATTCTGTTATAGGTACAATAATTATAAAGTTTCTTATTTATATTAAAGATGTTATTGTATTTAACTTATTTGACTATTTAACTGTATTAGCATATTTATGTATATAATAACAATAACAATAAAAAACTAAGTACCTATGTTGTTGTTAATAAAAACAAATAGTATTTAACAGAGAATATAAAATGTTAAATAAATAGTATTTTTAATTAAAATTTTTGTCGTTATTGTAAATTTTAAAATGCTCATAAATTGTTTCAAAATTAAAGTATAAAATATCTATGTGGATCCTAGAAAATATTGTTACTTTTAATTTTATAACAGTCTAATTCACTTTAATATTAAAAACAACAAAGTTATGTGGAATTTTTTGAGTCTAAAATTGTCTGTAATGCAGTATTAAACGATAGACATTCATGTGCAACTACTACACCATCTTGTTTATAAATAATGATATTCAATTATTTATCATTTATAAATAAATTACAAAAAATGTATTTACATTGATATATTCATAGAACCGAAAACATTTTGATTAGAAATTCTATAATTTATTTTGCTTTATAAAAATTATATTAATTATAAGTAGTTTTTAGTACTTACTTAAGCAACGACAAATAATTGGACCCAAATCTAAATTTTAATCAAAGCAATCATTTTTAAATCTGTACTTTTATAATTTAAAGTGATTCTTTTAATATATATCCTTTTAAAAAACTGATTTTTTGAACTAAGTATATTTTTCAGGTAGTATCTAATGCTTGTTTATTAAAGAAGTTTGATATGTATAAGTGTACTATAGATGAAGTTCGCCATGTACATAGTAAAGACTTAGTTTTAGAGTGTATTACACCTTATACGAGTGCCAATGGAGGAGACTATGCACATATGTTAGAATTATTTATGGTAGTTGATTTTCCTAATGGTCAAGAAATTATCGATGATAAAGGTATAAATATTTTAATAGYATTTTACATATTTTTTTAAAAATTACTAACTTAAATTTCTTGCGATTTTGTTGAAAATGCTTTTACATAATTGTCCAAATCTAACTCTTTAATTAAAATGATTATGTTTATAGATGAGCTACAAATAGGATTTTCGACATCATCTTATTCACCATTTACTAGATTTAGACAGACTGGTTTATTGTTACGGGATCARCTGCTTGTTGAACAAGGTAACAAGTTTATAATTAATGAGTTCCGTATGTGGCGTGGTCCTCAAAAAACTAAAAAAACTATGACTGTTGGAGAAAAAACTATCACTAAAAGTACTTGTAATAGATGTGGACCAGAAGAAAATTTAAAGCTAAGGTTAAGATATACATTTGTCAACAAGTATACCCAGGCGAATAATAGACGTTGTGCTTACATCTTAACAAAGCAATTATTTTAAGATTTAAATCAAAGGTTTTTGAATACTTTACTTAATATATTAAATTTGGATTTTACAGTTATTATTTATTTTATTTTATTATTAGATTATATTAAACCTAATTAATAAGTATTAAAACATTCTTAGGAATAAAGTTATTTTAAAGCAACGTAAAAATAAAGAAACATTTTTAATTAACTATTTTTTTTTTTTATGTTAATTGTATTTTTCCTTCATGTCTATTACTTGTCATGAACTCATGACCAATAATATCATAAATTATAATGTTTTATTTTTATATAATTAATCATAATGTGTTAGTGAATTTGATAATAAGACAGTGTTTAGTGTACAAATGAAATATTTACAGACCAAATAATTGGACTAGTGTAATCTTCGCATTGCACACATTAATTGGTTATCATAATTCATGGCCAGTGGCGTATTTARGGTTTTTCCGCCTTTAGGCACTTTCCAATTCGCCGCCTTTCTCCCACCTCCATCCTTCCTACAATTATTTCTAAAACGTATTTAAATATACAATTTATTATATTATAATATTATATTAAAAAAGATACATTGAGATATATGTAGATATACTAGTATGATTAATTTTGAGCGAACAAAAATTAKTTGAGTTTGATTTCATCAAATGAAAAATACTTTTTCTAATTTTGTAAAAAAAAATTGTTGAAATTTGCCGCCCTCCAATGTTGCCGCTCTAGGCCCGGACCTATAGGGCCTGTGCCTAAATACGCCTTTGTTCATGGCTCATTCCAATAAAATTATTTTCAAACGTTATATGATAAATTTAAAGATGTAGAACTATTAATAATTCATAAGCTGTAATAGAGATAAATGTCTGTGATAAAATTATTAATGTTTACCAATAATAGTAATATTTATGTTAGTTCGACCAAGTATCAAAAAATTATATTTGACTAATTTTGAAATGGGACTTTCAGATTCAATATGTAATTATTAATTTAGAAATTTTTTTGCAGATTTAAAGAATGAAAAAAAATCCTTAATATTTATTATTTAAAATTGGTAGTATAGCTTTAGTGCAATATTAATTAAGCTATGGTTTAATGGYATGGGTTAACTTTACAACATGGATGTAACTAGCAGGAGGGCTAAGCCCGTCCTGAGCCATCTTAAGCTCTTCCTAAAATATTTTAATATTTAGGTTATCTTTATTATAATAAATTATGTAATTTATAATCTATATTTATTATATTAATTATATAAATTACTAGCTGAACCCATGCACTTSGTAGCCCGTTAAAAATCCTACCTCTTATATGTCTCAAACTGTGTCTTAAATTTATTTCCTGTGATTTTGCTAGCAGTATATTTTTATACATATATATTAGATAAAGGTTAAAATATACTAAGTAATAATCTTACAACGATATTCAATTTAGTTTATTATTATGTAATTTTATTTGTTTTATCGAGAACAGGGTAACAATTCAAACATTTAATTGAATGATATTTGGGTCTATCACATTTTAATTTGGTCTATCTTCTGTCCATAAGCCTAATATATCACTGTACCAAATGTCATCACAATCGATCCACCCTTTAAGAATGCATAAAAGGCAAACAAACAGAAATCYATTTTTATAAATATTGATAACCAATGGTAATACCTATAAATAAATAAATAAATTGTCGGTTATTTCATATGATACCTATCCAAATATAAATAATTAGCTATACTCCATAARCTTGGCAACATGTGAGTCATCATTTTTCTCTATGAGAAAAAACAATACTTATCTAAGGTCCAACATGGAACAAGATGGATTTACCGATTTAAGTATAATAAACACAGAAAAAGAGTTATCTAACCAAATTGATAATGAATCAATTTTAACAAGTTTTATGAGATTATAATGCAACTAATGATGTATAATATTATAAATATTTATAATATGTAATAAATATATAAATTATGACTATACAACTCTTTGATTTTTACAATTATCAAAAAAAATAATTTACATTCGATTTGTGATAGTTTTAAATTGTATCAGCATTATAGATAAAATTTTATGTAGTTAAGTACTGGGTAGAAGACAAGTCTCCCAATATTCTCGTTTTTAAAACTATTTGGGCTCAGGCAGTCAAGCCCTATGCATTTGAGGACCTTATTTACACCCATGCTCTGCTGACATAAACTGRATGTCACAATAAAGTCATTATTGAGATTTATTCTGAGAAAACTATATTTTGGTAATGTTATTTTAATTAGTCTTAGTAATTATAACTTTTTGTCATACTGTTTTTGTAGAAATATTGACGCTTAAACATAAACCTAAACATCATTATCGYACTAAAATAAAGCATTGAGTAAAACTTCTTTTTTTATTTTATTTTGAATCCACTAGTTTACAACTATGATAACTCAACAGTTACAAAACAAAAAAGAAAAACAATACAAATTTAGATAAACAATAGANCTTTATTTTATTTTGAATCCACTAGTTTACAACTATGATAACTCAACAGTTACAAAACAAAAAAGAAAAACAATACAAATTTAGATAAACAATAGATTAATTATTTACTATATTATATTGCCAGCCTCCAATATATATAATGTGATTAGGTATCATTKTTGTAGCTGTTTATGATTTGGTGTTTAAAATAAAGTAAAGATTGAGAAGAATATTAAGAGTTTTAAGAGTGTTATATAGAATTTATCCGCCATTTATCGTTTAAGCCGCAGGGCAAGACAGTTAAATAAAATATGAGAGAAGTCATGGATACACTCATTTAAATGAAGTGTACAAAATGGTGAGTCGTTTAGTCCAAGTTTAAAAKAGTGATTTAAGGTAATAAGGAATGTCTTATATGTAAACGATTAAATTGAACTATGTGTGATTGTTGTACGTTTAGGTTGTTAAACCAAGGACTCATGGTACTGGGGCCAGGTGTTCATGCAAATAATGTGTAGGTATTAACTACTATTAAGTATTATAATATTTATAAGTATAGGTACCAGAGTCCAGAACTATAATATATACCCACATTTAAATATTATACAGTATGAGTTATAATAATCACACTATTTTATTGTTACCAATGTTACCTAACAACTGTTTTTTTAACTTTAACTTGTAACATTCATTTTTAATGTGTACTATGCATATGTATAATATTACACTTGTTCTCTATTTATAAATTATACCTATAATAAATTTGTTGATATTATTTTTTTTAATTATACCTAAGTAGGTACTCTTATAAAATCTATTAATAAAACTAATATTTAAGTCATTAATAAATAAATATTAAATATTATCATTATTAAATATCTTTTATGTCAAAAAATGAATTGTTATTTAAGAAGATCCCAAATTTAGTTTTTACCAGGGCCAAAAATATAGGGGGCCTGTGATTAATTAATTAAATATGATTCAATAAACAATAAGTCAATTAACATTAWTGAGTAGTAAGACGCGTGTGGGGAGGGGGAAATTTGCTGCGGACATATACATATTGCACTTGCATAGTTGCATTACCAATATTATCAAGTCATGTAGAGATCATTATTTCTTCCAAAAATATTAATAGTGAAACATTTATTAGGTATGTCATGTTAAACGAACATTTTGGAACAATAAAATTATACTTTTTTAAACTATTTATATCAGAGAACATCGTATTTTGCAAAATAAAACCATCAATAAAATTAATATGAGACAACTAAACTTGTTTATTAGAAAGGAAAAATTTGTATWGTATAATATTAGCAAATATTTAAAATGTCTTGGTTAAAATGGAAGAAGCTATTARTAAGTTCTTTTCTAATATAGTAAGTATTTATGCATAATATTTTTCCAATAAAAAAATAAAAATAATAAATGCTAAATTACTATAGGATAACGACTTCTGTTAATTTCTCCAAGAAATATAAAAAAATTACTGAACTTTAAGCGAATTATAATTTATTTAGGTATTTAATCGTTACAACAATGACGCAGGCTAACTTAATATCACCACTCCACAAAAGTCATCTCTCAGCCTGATCGCTGAAGCAATATATAATATAATATATAATAATAAGCATATTTTTTTTTTCCAAACTTCTAACGACACTGCATTGTATTTTTCACAGAAATGTTTCAAATACTTTCCTGACTCCTGAGTGTCACCCATCAGTCATCACCCAATTTTTAATTTTTTTTTTGTCTGAGTGGTAGAGGGTTTGTATTACTTGTACATATTGTATTTAAAGGTTGTCTATGGTTCTTTAGTGTCATTTAAAACAAATTCGAATTTTCTTAACAAAGTTGTTCCAGATACTAATCTGAGTGGCGAGTGATATATTATTTCCAACTTTATTGTAACTTAAGAAGATGCAAATCCTGTTGTTTAAGAAATGTGAGRTTGATACACTTAACATAAGCACAATGATTATGATTTTATGAAACATTTATGTTATGCAAAAATCCGCCGAAGAGACTGATGTTTGTTATACAAATTGACATTGTTGCTTGTTTAAAATGTAATTGTAGTTGTAAAAAAATAAGCATTAATAAATAACACACATGTTGGTTCAATAATTATTATCTAAATGCATCCGATTTTTAGACTTTTAGAGACATTACAAATTTGAAATTTGCAACGAGGATGGGATCATAGGTGTGAATAAKGGGGGAGTAAGCCCCTTCAATTGTTATAGCCCCCCTCCCACAAAAAAAACTAATGTCAAATATATACCACATTATAAGTGTCCGATATAAACCTGAGCTTCAGTCCCACCACGAGAAAAAATCTCAAACACTGGGCCTATGTATGGGAAGATGGGATATATTCTGGAAACTACCTACTCAAATATGCGAATATTGTTATCATATTGTTCAGCAATATTATGATTTATGAACAATCATAATGGATCCAGAGAATGATTATCAAGGAGTAATATCATTAAACCAAGGTGGAGCAACTTTTTAAAAAGGTTCCTTTRTTGAAAAAATGAGACAAATCACTGGATTTAAACTGGAAGATGATTTTGATACGTGATGGGCGGAAAGGTTTGATAAGTTGTATGTTATGTTAAAT